GGTCATACACTAATAAATAGCTTTAAACCTGAACTCAGAAATCACTGTCAATTAAGTGTCATCGAGTAATTGGCTTACTCAAGAAGCTTGAGGAAACTCATAGCTGGTACGCCACTCAACTCAATAAAAATCATAAAAAGGGTTGCAAAAATGGTTCAGTTTGTTGATTATTAAAACCGATTACATAATAATGAAGATTTAAGAATCAGTTGGTTGTTTCCACTGAATTGTTAGTATTAAGATTTAAAAGAACATGAAGTTAGGCTTAGAAATGAGTTAGTTACTCGGTGTGATCACATAACAGTAAAGGTGAGAAATGAAAAAGGACCGTACAATTATAAGTTTAAGATAAGTACTCTATTAATTATTGCGGTCACATTATGGCATGGCAATTAAGATGAAAAATGAAAGAATAGGTTTTAAATTAATTAGACAGCTATGATAGGGAGCGTGACCTTATAAATGTTCTGTGGATGTGAAAGTTAAGTCTATTTAGATGAAAACCTATGGCTCCAGAGGTATGTGGGAAGAATCACGTAGAAGAATTGAATAAATCATATGGGATTTTATGGATAACTTTCAATGCTACATTTGTATGAACTTGAAGGTTCGTATCGAACAAGTTTACAACAAGAAAGCTTCATACTTCTCTTTTCTGTCTTTTGTTCAGCCTCAGATTGATATTAAGGAATGCAGTAGCAAACTTGCTTCATATGTCCGGTACAAACCGTCTATGTGTGTATTAGATGTTATTATTACTTATTTTTGTTAATCCTTTATACTCCCACTTGACGCATACATGTACTGTTTGCTATTTTATAGTCTATTTCGTCACTCGGTAATTATTTGTTGATACAAAGATCTCATGTTCTTATAAAAGTGACCTTGACAATGTAATTGGTGTTCAGAGACATCATGATTCGAGGTTTTTAGACTTTTATTGTTTTTCACAGTAGCATAGTGTTCTCGGGCTAATCTTATACTGACAGGATAAGAATTGTTGAATAAATCTCATAGAAGTTACATCATGTTAAACAGTAAGCACTTATGAATACCATTTGATAATCTTAGTAATCAGGCACGGGTGCAAAATTTTAAAGTGGACCAATAATGTGTTTCAAATCAAAAACTGAGCTAGATAAAATAGAATCTCCTAAACATCAAGAAGTCAAAATCGCTTATTGAGTCCGTTCGAAGATCTTGATCAGACGATTAAGTGACACATCAAATCTCAAAATTACAACAAAATTTGTCTTTAAAAAAACGGTGCCGTTTATATAAAATCAATATAGACAGTATGGTTTACAAGCCTAAACCATAAGGTATCTAATGCACTAATGACACTTTAGGTTAAAAGTTGAGGGAAGGTGAACCTTTTAAACAATTAACTAAGAAGTGATTTATAGAAACACAAGATAAATGGAGTGCAACTACCAATTTGTGTCAAATCAGTAATGACAATTAACCAGTTAATCTACTCAATATCAAATCTAGAAGCTTTTATGAATAAATACAAAATAAAAGTCAGTCAGTCAGTCGCAACGTGGAATCTTGTATGCACGTATATCGGTTCATGTTATCATATGTCATTAGTACAGAGAAATGGAAAAGTCAGTCCAAATCCTAGAACAGTAGAGGTTGTCACAGTACAATTCAAGAAAATCTAAAAACACAAAATAGATAATAGGAATTCAGGACTTGGGGGAAGAAAAATAATGGATGCACGAGCGTAATTGCAAACGAATTTGAGATATGTCATTTAAAGTCTTTGATCACAAGTTACGATAACCATACAAACCACAACCAGGTATTCTACGCCTATTGACATGGCTCAATCTAATTGTCACTGGCTTGAGGGACTAACGTCATATTTTAGTTCGGTTACTCTTAGATTTTCTACTCCTACTTCTACACCAGACAACATTTCATGTCGAGGTAAGCGGTGATTGGGATACGTGACACATGTCCCAACCACCTTAATTGGAGATTTACTACTTCATCAACTGGTTTTACATCTTTGCATAGTACCTTATTCGTAACTTACTACTTACTACTACTGGCTTACTATGTGGTCCTAAAATACACGAAAAGTTCTTTAAAGACACCTATGATGGGATACTAGTAATCTAAGAACGAAATGAAGACAAGCAATTAAGAATAGTAAGAGTTTACAACGACAATAATAAAACGTCAAGAATGTATGTATCCACTTAAGAATATCAGCAAATTACAATGGAGACAATGAGCTCCACGTTTTAAAATGAATGGCAATAACATAAGGTATTGAATATTAGTAAGTAGTACATATATTTAGGTGGAGCTTTGTTCTCTGAGCTAGATGGTTCGGTCGTGGAGCTTCCTTCTGAATAACATCATCAGCAGCAGCAAAAACTTCAGATGGAAGTTAAATGTTAAAATTTGACTCACAGTTTATCCTGTCAACCTCGAACTTAATTGGTTATTGTTGAACTGTAACCTGTCATTATCTAACCCTTTATTTTGGTTGTATATACCTGATTCTTGGTCCTATGTTTGTACATAGTTTTCCTGATTGATAGATTGGATAGATTTCAATGTATTTGTTGATTACTGAATGAGTTGGTTGTCAAGCTTCTAGAAATTCTCTGATGCTTTTAGTATTCCCTCTCTTCAAGGTCTCACCGTTTTTCCATATGTATTGATATAAATGAAGATATGTCATGGGGTTTGACCGCTAGTTTATGTTCGTGCAGGCGAAGACCAAGGGGGCATCCAGTTTGTCCGATGTAGTGTGTTTTGCAGTTGGAACAGTTTATTTTATAAACGATGTTTGGTACAGATAATTAGAGTTCGAAATTATAAGCAGAATAAATATCACCATCATTCTAGCTGGTGTCCATAATACAACATAAATTCATGGTTAAAGAGGAACGTTAAATGGTCACAATTAAAATTAATTGATGTGATGTAGATCTTATGAATTCTGTAATTCTATGGCTTATTTCCACTGTTTCCAGTTGCTTAATAATAAGCAGTCTTGTATATATTCTTAAATACTACTATTGTATCTTTTTATCCTCTTTTTACACTCATTGGTTACTCTTTGTATTTCTATGAGTTGTTCTATAATAAGCAATCTAGGTAGGGGTTGAATAATTTACATTTTATGACCAGCGCATTGTATCTAGAACTGTATAAGACAGTTTGTTCATTTTTAAAAACTGAGAACCTTTCGACATTGTAAGAGAGAACAAATCAGCTTCCAACTGAAGAGGAAATTAGGAAAAGACAATAGAAATGGATAGGACATAGATTGAGGAAATCACCAAATTGTATCATGAGGCAAGTCTTAACTTGGAATCGTGAAGGGAAGTGGAAAAGTGGAAGGTCAAAGAACACATTACGTCGGGAAATAGAAGCAGATATGAAAAGGATGAATAACAACTGGGAGAGCTGGAAAGGATTGCTTGGGATAGGGTTGGATGGCGAGTGCTGATGGGCGGCTTATGCTCCTCCACGAGGAGTAATAGGCGTAAGTAAGTTTCAGTATTATGGGTCCATGAATTTCTTTGAGGTTTTATTATTAAAGCGGAATTGAAGAAAAATGATTTATTTTATTATTCAAAAGTTTTGATTTTAAGGGAGAAGTCGGATTGATTCACCGATGATAAATTTAAAGAGACATATTTCTAGTAGATATACCATCATATCCGTTAGTTAATTCACCAATATCATTAAATGCCAAAATTCATTTTAAAATACACAAGAAATATTTTCTCATAGGAGAGGAAAACCTTCCAGGTTTCCTTTTTTCATAAAGTATACGAATGATAAACATGATATAAAAAGTAATGACTTAGTCTATTGGAGTATGATTCTCATATGAAACACATGAGATGGCTGGGAAATGTGTTACGTATGCTTAACCACCGATGTTTTCTGGTGTAGGAGTAGGTTGGAAGAAAGCTAGGGGCGGTCAGACCAAAACATGGCACAAATCCATGAAGTCAGTGACAGTGTAGATTACCTGGTTGGGATCCGCGAGACAATAGCAACCAATGGTTAGCGACCTTGAATGAAATGGCTCAAAATCGTTTGCAATGGCGCAGATACATCCACTCTATGTTATCCCAAGTTCTAATCTTCTAAATTCTTCATGTCTCTTTCTTTTTTCTTTTTCCAAATTTATTTCACTGGATTATACTCCTTGAATAACATCTTCAAACCCTAATTTTTACGATTATTACTTATACTCTCACTACGTCTACCACTATGGGATTTGAATTGACAATTGTATCTCTGTACAAATGTGGTATGACAACTTGAATTGACGTACCTACGTACAAAGATCTACGTTATTGCTGACCGACCCATATGAAACTAATTGATAATCTATAACAAAATCATATTTTTGGAAGTAATTATATAAATTATTCAATCGGTTTTAATCGTTGGTTATAGATGCTTAATTGCATGATATTGTAAATGTGTTCACCTAGTACGTTAGTGATTAGTTGATGATAAATACTATTCAATTAAAATTGTACGAATCTAACTGTAAATAGATCATATAAAACGTGGTTTATTTACTCATATATATCGTTTTGACTTATTCCCGAGATCGACCCGGTCTGTTGTGAGATAATAACTCACTGAAGACAACGGTGGATGTGTCGCCCAATTTTGTGGATTAGTTGAATTTAGACATTAACACAAATGAATGCCAACTCAGTGATCTAGAGGTTAGGCGTTCGCGTACGGGACCGATAGGTCCTGGGTTCGAATCTCGCGAGGCGGAATCGTGGATGCGTACTGTTGAGGAGTCACACAAAAGGACAAGACGGCTGTTCAGTACTTCCATGTTTTCCATGGTGGTCTAGCTTCAATTGACTCATAATCTCAACTATTGAAATAAATCATTGTTAGTTGTCTTTATGTTTTCAATATAGGTAATCGGATTTAGGATGTTCAGTACCAAACACTATTCAGTTAATCGTTCAGCGGACATAACAATGACAAAATAAGGATCGTAACTTCATTTATTTGGAAATATTTGATCAGGATAACATTTAATCTTGTGAAATCGAAGGTATTGTAATAAAAAAAAGAAAGAACTGTAAAACGGTAATTTTCATCTGGAGACAATTATCTTTTTTTGCATGCTAGTTTACTAAAAGAACACACACACATATAGACTCATAGGTGGGACTTAAAATATAAGATTAAACTTAAACAATAATTAATCCTTCTGAAGTAATTTGTTGTAATAAATTGTACATATGTCGTTCACTTTGACGTCGTTTACTTTCCAACTCTTCATCTTTTACTTTTCGAGCAGAATCAATAAGTGGTTCAGAATATTGTGGATCTTTACTTGGATCTGTTAAATTATGTGTTATATTACTCAATGAGAGTGTTAATCCAGATTTCTGAAATTGAAGAATAGTAACAGAGAAAGAAGTTAATTATAGTAAAAGAAGAAAAAAACCCAATCTTCTCATCATATCTGTAGCATAATTTCGTAAGATACAATTTGAAGATAATGTAATTGTACGTTAGTAATTGGCTATTGAACAATGAAGTAGCTACTTCAGTATTATTGAAGCTTCTAGAAGTTTCCATAATATTGTTAAACCAATTATTATGAACCATTTGACCTTTTTCTCAGTGTAATTCTAGGTTAGTTAAAATGTATTATAAGGAATTATATTCATAGTAAATGATGATTATTCCTAGTCAAAGACCAGACGTGATCTAATATCCTAGCGGGTTAATAAAGGATAAAATGCTGTGGGATAGAGATGGAAGAAGGGATTGTTCAATTATTCATTTTGAAGGTAATTAGTTGTAACCTGCAGATTTAACCGAGTAATCCTTTCCAGTTCTTCATAGTTGATATTCATAATTTTCATGTCTGCTTCCAATTTTCTGCGCAGTATGTCCCTTGATCTTCCTCTTTTCTTTTTCCCTTCAGGATTCCGAATTAATACATGCCTCGTGATGCAGTTTGAAGATTTCTGCACTGCATGCCCTATTCACCTTAAGCGTCTTTTCCTAATTTCCTCTTCAGTTGTAAGCTGATCTGTTCTCTCCCATAATAGGCTGTTGTTGATGGTATCCGATCAACGGATAGTATTTTACGTGGACAATTGTTTATAAATGCTTGTACCTTTCGATGATGGCTGTAATAGTTCTGGGAGTTTCAGATTCGTACAGTAGAACTATCTTGATGTTCGTATTGAAGATTCTAATTTCGATGTTCGTTGATAGTTGTTTTGAGTTCCATACTAAAATGAAATACGTTGTCGAATGTTTCCTGGTTATCAGTGGTTGTCTAATCAATATAATTTCTTGGTGTAAAATATGGGAAGTAAGTAGTTAGACGACATAATTGATTAATTAATTAATTTATAACCTACTTTTCTCATTTTCCGGATCCGTATGACTAGTGTCTGATTTCGGTTTCTATTCTGTCTACGGGCCTTTTATAATTATAGTTCACATATATATGACTAGATGAAGTACAAAGAAAGCCTAGTGAACGGCACGCTTGGATCATACACAAAAGACACAATTAAAGAAGGCTATATAGTTTTTGCAAGTACTTTAAAATCTGGAGATGTATTTTATGGCATACTGATCAGCTCACATGTACCAACTAGGTTTAAATGATACGACTAGTTATAGTTTTTATATTGGATTCAATTGAGCAAATCAATGATAAACTCAAAATTATATAAATGAAATGTTACTGATTGGTTTAACTTATTGTCTAACTAGACAAGTCATTATGTTGTATATTTCATGAATATTATTGTGAATATAATTAAAACAACACATATAAGCGAACAATTGTTTTCAATTAGATCGTCATCAGGCTTTACTCTAATATACATGAATATTTATACGAAAATGTTAAACCAATCAAGGCAATATGAGTCAATAATCACAATGAAATAGAATAAGTCACTACACAAGTTTATAGTAGGAAGACTGGTGAACTGATAATAGTAAGAATAATAAAATACAATAACAAAAACTCTTATCAACAGTTAATCGTTGGCAATAGAAGGTCAAATAAACATGGGTAAATAGACTAGGAATAGTAATCACAAAACATTAAAAATCATTACGTAATAAGATGTGTGTAAATAATTAGATCAGGGATGTCTACTCAAAAGAAGGATAAGTTACCTGAGTTGGCCTCTTCCATGTGCATCTACAAATTCAGCTGCTCCTGTGGAGATAGCTATATAGGGCGTACTACCAGGCAACTTAACCAACGAATGAGTGAACATCTACCAACTTGGTACATAAAGGGTCAGAGAAAAACTATTCGCAGCTCTATACTAGCACATCTTATTGATAGCGGTCATGCAGTAGATAAATTGAAATCATTTCGAGTTATCTATCGTATACCTCCATCATTTCCTGACAGAGTCCGTTCCCGTCTCCTATATATAGCTGAAGCCATTGGAATTCGTACATATAACCCCAATCTATGTGTACAGAAGAAATACGTGACTCCCCTATCCCTTCCATGGCCAGTTATAACCTAACTAACAATTTTTTTTTTAAATTTCAAATTTTATTATTATCATTATTTATTTTATTCTATCTGTGTTATTGTTAACCTTATTTCCACATCCATTATTTGTTTGTCATTATCCGCCTCTTTGTATTCTTCACTATCTAATTATTTACACACATCTTATTACGTAATGATTTTTAATGTTTTGTGATTACTATTCCTAGTCTATTTACCCATGTTTATTTGACCTTCTATTTCCAACCATTAACTATTGATAAGAGCTTTGTTATTGTAGTTTATTATTCTTACCACTATCTGTTCACCTGTCTTCGTACTATCAACTTGTACTTTTACCTATTATGTGTAGTGACTTATTCTATTTCATTGTGATTATTGACTCATATTGCCTTGATTGGTTTAACATTTTCGTATAAATATTCATGTATATTAGAGTAAAGCCTGATGACGATCTAATTGAAAACAATTGTTCGCTTATATGTGTTGTTTTAATTTTCACAATGGGAATCTTGAATATAATTAAGATTATTAAATTAGTTTTTTAGATGATCAATGTTAGAAATAAAATTTTACCTGAGGAAATTTACTACAGAAAATATTTTTCCACATTTCCAATGGAGATTTTGCAGTAAGACGTCCTATTCCTATATTTGCATGTGGTGGTGTTCCTGAAATTTATAAAACATTTTTTCACAAGGATTATGATTTAGTTTGTAATTGTATTTTAAAGGACACAATGAAATAAACCAACAGTAGAAAATATTTAGACTTGTATTTACATACTACTATATTAGGATAACACCATAATTATTTTGCACGCAGTTCAAAGTGTACTGATTAATAACAAGTATTTTATTGTTATTAAGAAAAAAACTAGCAATACTTAGTCCTCAAAATGTTTAAAATCAATGAAAATATCTATTAGATAGCGCTTAAGCTAAATTACATAACACATTGCGTCAAAGTACTGAGTGTCATTCATTGGATAATTAAGTTTAGTGAATCTAGATAATGTTCTCCCTTTCCTCTGTCATTCTAAATCTTAACCCTAAGTTCCCCAAGTTTGTACACAGGAAGATTGCAAGACATTATATTATAACTGATGCCAATTTGTATCGAAAACCTTAACTCCAATTCGTAAACCAAACACGAAAGTCATGTTTAACTCTTAATACATAACCCTAACCTTTTTGCATTATAACTGATGCCTGTTGGTGACGAAAAATGTATAGGGTGTTAACCTCAACTCGAAGTACCAGACTAACTCCTAGTATGTAAATGTAAATTTGCCGTTTTGTCTTCACTAGGAAGGATAATTTGACTTGTGGGGGTTAGTTATTACGATAAAGCTGTTATTCCACTGTTATTTCATTACTTTGCATTGTCAATTGTTTTATAAGTAGGCTGTGTTTCCTGAGTGACTGATAAGTAACCCAAGGTCGTCGGTATATTATACTTTTATCTCATTTACTCCTGGAATCTGTGATACATCATTTTCAAGCTATTTGGACTCATAATTTCTGTTTGATTTCTGTTTTAACTTTGACGCCGAAATATTTACACATGATTGTCTGAACTTTCACCAGCTTAATCGTTGTGTATGTCTCAAGGTCATTGACGTCGCTCAAGGTTGTCCATAAATTATAGTCTCATCACTAACCGATATGGACTGAAATTTTGTAAAGTTCTATTTTAGCAGAATAATACCTAAGGTTTTTTTTAGTATAAATACATTAAACCAGTATCACAAACCTATGACATGGAGTGAAATTAATTCTTAGAATTTTATTTCCTACGACAGTTGTCGATTTGCTTTTCGTACCAAAACACATTATAGGGCCAGTGAAATGTCACTAAGCCCTAGCCAAATCATCCGGATACTGAACTGATCATCAATCTCTGTCAGGGTCAAGGACGACCAACGTGCGTCAGTTAATCGTTCGCCATGGAATGGCCCATGGGGCGTCCTTTGTGCTGTACAGTCTTCAAAGAATCTATAGCACTTCGATACGTCGATGGGGCAATTCACGTAAGGTGCTGACTGTGAGGTGTGACTTCGACGTTAGCTGATTCGTCACACCATTTCTGTCCAACTCTAGTAGGCCCCCAATCATTCAACATAGATCATCTACGCTGGTAATTTACAACATTTACAAACGCTTATTTACCAAAAAAATTACATAGCTGATCAAGTAATGATTACCGATATTTGAGAATGAGTCGACACCAACTGGGATTGCCAACGGTTTCCCTGTTTCCATTTGGACGTTGGTTATGTCCTTGCCATTGAAAGCGATGTGATTGAGAACAGCCCTTATCCTTTTAAGTATCCCATCTTCTTTGGTGGAGGAAAACTGTAGCATATTAAAAAGATGCTGAGCTTACATACATAAACAGACGCTCCATAAAAATGGCTGAGAAAGCGGATTGTTTTACAAATTAGATTCTGCTGTTCAGCGTCTCGGGTCTAAAGAATTTCAGTATGAAATCATTTTATACCATCAAAAGGTCATGTTTTGACCCCAGGAATGTGAGGGGCAAAGGAAAGGGGTTCAACAGTTCTATGTCAGGATGTGTTGGTGGAATTCGGTTTCTCCACTTTTCACTAAAAATATTTTGGATGCGCGTTATGTTTTTTTGGTGGAGACGGTTTAGAATCTGATCAACACGAGCGGAAGCTGACTTCAACAAAGTGTCCACAGTATCCCAAAGTTCCTCTGGTTTGGATAGATCAATAACTAAAATCAGGTGAAGATTCCTTCAAGTGATAGAAGGAGCTATTAAGTAATTTAAAAGTAACAAACAAAATGTTATTGGGTGTCATTACGACACCAATTAGATCTGAAAGTCTGATACCACCCCCTAACTCCCATATATGCGACACAACTCGAGTCTACTAAGTCACAAATAAGTTCGCAAAAACCTAACATGATAATTTCCGGCACCTTTCCGTCCAAAATTATAATCAAGAGCTAGAGTAGATTTAGGAGTTTCGTCTTTTTCGAGAAATCGGTTGATAATTGTACTTTTCCCCTGCAAAGGGATGAAAACATGAACAAATATGCTAAATAATTATACTTACTGATCCTTTGTTCCCAGCAAAAATTAATGTGTTTTCTGTACCTATTTGTACTTTTTTATTAGTAAAGAGCATAGACTATGGAAAAGTACCTGACTTAGTTCTATTCTGCTGTACTGCAATCTCCCAAAGTGTTTCTGGCATTTTAAAACGCCGGGTTTAAATGTAAACAGCAACGACAACTTTTGTTCATTCTTCAATTTTTTAAAAAGAGACGGCAGGTACAATGTTTCATTTGTGAAGTATGCAAACTTTTAATTATATATCAAGATAGTGAGACCTTTTACCAATAATCTGGAAGCTGAGAAGGTGTAGAGATCGATTACTGTGACTGGTCATAAAGTGTGTAATCTGAACTTGATGGAGTCAACTTAATTTTTCTTTTAGCTATGGTGAGCCTGCTTTACGAGTCATGGGTCTTGCTACAGCAGAGTTGGTATTTACATTCGTACGACCTACTTAATTGTGTAGAGTTTTGATCCAATACATACAAGTGACCTGTTAACATGAGGAGGCTTTTATCGATACCTTTTTTAGTGATCACATTCTTTCTTGTAATGTACGAGTTGCCCCTTGAGTGTTTAGAGACTAGATGCATTTAATTAACCCAGGCTCAAATAATTTTGCGATCGATTTTCACACATAGGTTCAAGCTTACAACAAATATACCATGATAATGTACACACACCCATTCTGCTGTCGATGAACTAATGGACAGTATTGGTATGGAAAACGAAAGTTGACTAAGCTACGGTAACTAAGCTTAAAGCTCTGAGGATAGCAATACCAGTCACGTCTGCGGTTCGCAAGTTGAACGACTTTGATATTTGGTAGCGTGACTTCAGCTGGTTACCTTTACTAAAACCATGTCGAGATCAGATGCTCATATCTACAGAAGTGCTTGCCGAGAGGAATTGCCTGCTTCGTGAACATGTTTATTTATAACTTTGAACTCAGACATTTTGGCTTCACACTGCTTGATTTGACATTTCAGAGGTCTTGCTATGGTCATATGATCTGCTCTTAAATCTGTTCTACTTATTTTTCGAGTGAGGTAAAGTTGAACTCCTTCAACTCCAATAAAGTTTGCTAATAGAGAGCCTAATGATCTCTAGGTTATTATTATTTGTGAAGACTTCTCTAAAACAATTCTTAACATTAGTCTGTTTCAATCCCTATTCAGCTAAACAGGTATCTCACGTCACTAGAATCGACGATCTTTATTACTTTGTCTTGGAAGTCGAGGTAGGCCAACCCACATCAATACCCGTTCAGTATCTTGGAAATTCATGTCGTAAACCGACCACCTTTTCTCTTTCTCTAAACAATCATGGTACCAACAAATAATGCTAATTTTATAAACCGTAGTAAGTAAGCCATTTCACTTAACTCTAGTTATGACCAGAAAGCCACTATAATGGAAATTTACAGCACCTTATCTTAGATATCAAAATACTTAATTTGTCAAAGTGCTAGATAGAGTTTTTTAAGCGACAGATTTTCTGGAAAAAATGTCATAAGGCCTCCAAGAAATCCTCTTTTTCAATATATTTTAATCGAGAAACTGATGTTCACTGGGAGTAAGATCCTGAAGATGGACAGACTATACAGTACGGGAATCTTCCTTGTTACAAGAGATTTTCAAATAACTAGTAGAATTTATGATGATATACAACTCCCACACACAGTCTGGATAGTCCCAGGATGTCCAGCAATATTCTAAAGCGTCTCATCTTTCTTGTCTTATCAAAAGAAACTATAATACCCGACTGTTTCTGACATTAAAACTTCTATGAAAAAGCTCATAGCTGGAGCGAAAACCCTTTCAGTCTCCCTGGTAGAGAAGTATCCTTACTCAGAAGCGATTTAGATCGCCCTCATTAACCCCGTTTTGCATGGTTTCTAAAATGTATAAGTAACACATTTCAATTAATTTGTTTAACTGGCACAATTATCTACCGTTTCAAGTTATAATAACCGGCTGGGTCAGCGATAGGTTATTAACTAAAAATAGAAACACAGTCGGAACAAATATGTTGTGGGCTAGGTGACCTACAATAACCGTAAATGCACACAAATGGAAGAGTTCAATCTGTACCCTATCACCCTATGCAACCAAAAATGATCATCTCAGAATGTAGGCAACAAGACAGAACTAATGGTATTAGGTCCTCACTAATCATTGAATTTAGTTTTTCTGTCTGATGAGTGCATCATACAAACAGTGATTGATTCGACAATTCGATTCTTGTTGTGTGCTAACAGTGACGGATGACGCAAGTGTTCCACATGCTTAGGTACTCACATACTTGGTGAGGAGTGAATTTGAAACCATCATATAATTCGTTAATCTTGTCAGGGTGAATTTATACAGAAAACAATGTTTCATGCTTAAAAAGTAAGTTCTGTGTGAATTGTTCAATGTAAGGAAGATTGTAGTGTGTCAAAAAAGAGAGGAGAAGGTGCAAATAATGTGTGGAGATATATCAAAATGGATACTTATTTACTTGCTTACTCCTGTTACTCCTCATGGGCCACCGTAAAGACCATCGACCAGGATCCTCCAACAATCTCTGCAATACTTTCTCCTTTATAGTTCTTCGCAGTACTGTTCGTGCTCATACATCTACCTCCAATTCCTTATTTCATGTGTTATTTAGTCTGCCCTTCTTCCACTTCCATTCAGGATTCCATGTTACGATGTTGTTACGATGATGTTTGGTGGTTTTCCGTTTACAGCGTCATTTTCTAATGTTCTCCTCAATTCACATCTGGTTCGTCCTCTGAAATAGTAGGTTGTTGTTGATGATGTCTGGTCAATGGATATGGAGCATCTTCCATTCACAGTTATTCATATATATACGTGAACATTTTCGGTGATGATTGTAGTAGTTCTGCAAGTTTCAGTTCAGTACAATAGACCTATTTCAAAGATGATGTTGAAGATTGTGAGTTTGGTGTTCTCCGACAGTTAGTTATTATGTGTTCCAGATACACTTCGATTGCATGTGTGCTCCATTTGCTTTGCCGATTCGTGCCATCACATCTGCGTTGTATCATCCTTGTTATTGATTGATTCTGTCCAGGTGAGTAGAGGCTCCCACCTCTTCCACAGATTCACCATCAAGTTCCATTTGGTTGGTGCTGCATTTTCACTCGTGTATGTTGAGGTCTACTATTGTAGAGACTGCTGCCACACTGTCTGTATTCACCTGAATTTGTTATTGTATGTGTATGGGATAGGAAGTGAAGATCATTTGAGAGGTCGAAATGTGTTCAGCATGTGCACAGAATTCCATTTCAGTTGTTAATATTTGTTTTTAATTACAGATTTTATTTTTCAAAAGATCGGATTCCGCAAGAATAGATTGTGTATGGAGCAAAATACAATATTCCTATAAGATCTATTTTGGATGTTTCGTGTGTGAAAATCCCTCCATGTATACACTTGCAGTTTGTTCCTATTGATTCTCTTAGTTATACATTGTTAGCTGTAATGACCGAACAGCCAATATTCGTTTGGAACAACGGACTGACGAACCCGAAATTTATTCGATTAGACCAGACCAAGTTCCTCTGTATTATATTATATCAAAACACAAACTCTGTGCTCAATATAAACGATTCTAATTAAGAAAACAGAACAAATTACATCAAAAATACAAAATACCTCAAACGGTACAGCCTGTGCTATACAGTCAGAAGTTTCTCTAACAAAAGTAGCTCGCTAAACAATGAAAGAGACAGTTAAAACTAAAGGGTTTGATACCTGAGAAACAATACAAATATTCCCAATAGGATGGGATCAAATATCTATCTGCAGGGATTTCAGCAATCCTCTCAAACAGACAGTCAAAAGGTTAACAGTCGCACACTGAACCACCCTGTGACCTTGAGCATAGTCAAACACGACCTTACTGTCAATGGTCCGGCAACATGCAATAGAAAATTAGGTAACAAAAATAAGTCTTTAATCAAAATCACATAATAAAGGCTCAAACGGGGAAGACTGAAGAACAAAAGGCATGGTTAAACGAGATCGAACAAAAGGTTGGAATACACAAAAGGGAGAAGGAACAAATAAATGAAAATACTGTTCAACAAAGAAGCTGCAGAGGGATTTTCACTGTTCTCTTTCCGTTACATTAGCCTTTTTTATTCCATTTGAGTTGTTAATATTTGTATTTTATTATAGTTGTTATTTTTCTTACGCCTTCACTGAGTTTCCGTGTTTCTTCCTGAACTACGTTTATGTTGTTCTACTTGATACTTAGTCTTGGCGGCAGTCATATTGGTTTGTTCCTCCTTTTGATTGCGTTGCTTGTATTGACTGGAGTTGTACATTTTTGATTATGAATTGAGGCACTCTTCCAGAATTGGAAACACTCTGTTATAAAGCAACCAAATATTATCTTTTGAACGAATCTGTGCGTGGTCTATTCGGACAGGATAGAACAACAATTATTTGTAGTGATTGGTAATTTTCTAGGTATGGAATTACCAAAGGTTGAATTCAGTTATGTCGACGGACAACCGAGAGGTTACTGGAAGTTTTTAAGAGAGTTTGAGACCCACGTGGAATCAAGGGTCATGGATAATAGTCAACGCCTGCTTTATTTGATACATTATTGTAGGGGTAGAGCAAAACAGCCATTGGGGAGCATGTTATATTGGATGCCTCTGCTGGCTACAAGAAGGCCAAGGAAATTCTAAAACGGTTGTTTGGACAGGCACATGTGATTGCTCGAGAAACCTTAGAAGACTTATTCAAACCTGCAAATGTTGATTACAGTGGTCAGGAGCAGCTGTCAAACCTAGCTATAAGCATGGGAAATTGTCCCATGGTCTTGAAACAGATGAAGTACACAGCCGATTTAAATTCTTTAATTAACTTAGAGAGAATATTAAGGCTTTTGCCTCAATCTATGCAAGCTCAGTGGGCGAACTTGGTGGATAAATTAACTGAAGATGATAGAGAACCAACGTTTGACGAGGCCACTCAGTTTATAGCATCTTGTGCAAGTTTAGCTAGTAGTAGGTTTGATCAGTTGGCGAATCGTTCAAGAAAGGGACATAACATTAAGGCGAATTGTCACTTGCAATCGGGGCAGTGGAGTAGTTCGACATACAAAACTAAATGTATCGTGTGTTCCGATGACCACGCTGTTTATAAATGTCCGCGATTTTTAGCGCTTACATCTCAAGA